AGCGCTACCGCCACCGCTACTACTGCCGGGCTGCTACCACTGCCACTGCCACTGCCACCACCACTACTACTACTACTACTACTACCACTACTACTACTACTACTACTACTACTACTACTACTACTAATTCCTACTGCTGCTACTACTCCTCCTACTCCTGCTGCTACTACAACTACAACTACTACTACTACTACTACCACTACTACTACTACTACTACTACTACTACTGCTACTACTACTACTACTACTACCACTACTGACAACAACCACATCATCAACAACAACAGTAGTAATAGTAGTGCAATTTCATGTTTTCCAACAACAGAAATATTGGTACATTCATAGACCTCTGTCTATTGACCTTCTTATGGATAAAAAAACAACAGTATCGATAGTACTATGGATATGAATGATGAGATGAATATTGATGTTGGCATTAATTCTAATGCAATATTAGCAATATTAGGTTAAAGGTTTTGTGAATACCATTGTTCTTATGTGTAGTATTGTCATAGTTATTTGTTGTTATTGTGGTTATGGTTACCATTATGGTTATGATTATTGTTACTATGAGTATATTAACATGAGTCCTTTATCAGTGCTACTATTCATATTGATGTTCATAGAATTTTTTGTAACGAACATTTTATTGTTATTACTGTCAGTAGCTTTTCTATCTTCAGTTGCTGGTATCGTTCCTCTCATTGTTGTTATTCTTGTCTTACATATCCATATAAACATTTCTTGAAAATGTTAGAATCAACATTAATTGTGACAATAGTAGTTATTGTTATTGTTATTGCCGCATGTTTGCCAGCTTGTGGAACTAAGGCTGAAGCAAAACTCCATGTATGCCGTGCGCGTTCAGGCCGACAGGGTTTGAGCAAGCAGAGCATCACTTTCAGAAACCATGGGTTTATAGGGGCTGTGAGAATCGAATTGGGTTTCTTCATGGATTAAATTATATCGAGGAACGGCTAATTATCTGGGCTTCTAAATCTCCTTAAGTCACCTTTCGCCCGAGATCAACAAGCGAGCAGAGCAGGCACAGGAGGGCTGAGAGAGTGAAGGGCAACTGCTCAGTAGCAGCCCGAGTCGTGTAAGAGGTAGCGTGCACAGGCTGACATATCGGCTTGCCGCGCCGCAGGAAACCTGCACAGACCCGAATGCCAATGGAGACTTCGCGATGCTGTCGGAGAACGTCTCCGCCCAAGTCAATTTCCGATGTGGCAGTTGAGCATTGATAGTTTCTATTGGACCCCACGCACTGCACGATGAGCATTCAGACATGCAAATCGTCAGCTGCATGTGGTATTTGCATATCAAACTCCTGGTTCAGCGAGGCAACGACGATCATTGCCACGATTCCGGCAGATCCACCGGAAAATCTCACCGTGAGCAATGAGACAGTGGAGTACTCGGACATCTTACATTCCTCGTATTCTGTTCCAACGTTTTTCGGGTGTTGCTTCCGGCCAGCCGACAGCTGGGCACCAGACTGAACTCGAGGCCTACACGTTTCTGTTGGAGTTTGATGCCGGAGAACCGTACGTTGGCTCCTAAGCAGATGTGTGAGCCTCCCATCTGGTCTGGTCCTGCTTCCTGGTTTAGTTCTACATTGGTTGTGGCCACCTAAGATTTGCCACTCATGCAGTGGTTCTTGCAGCTTTCCGATCTGTTCATCTTGCTTCAAGCTCAATGCAGCGAATAGCTGGTGAAGGCCAGCTTGAGTGTGCCAAGGACTGCTACTTCACCGGCTGGGCTGTGGAGGCACCTCGGGAAGATATTGCACTGCTTCGGGAAGCTGGCTCAGAGTAACGTCCGGAAGTTGGGACTTGGGACTCTCTGAGGCTTTTTCTTGTAACGCCTTTAGGCCGACTTTCTATCCTTGACGGCCATCCTAGCAGCCCTAGCATTTGTGTTGCTGGAGGCTTCTATGGCTTGTCTCATCTCGTTCGAATAGCATGCGAGTGCTAGCCCAACTGTGCTGAAACTGACGGGTTCCCGTGAGGTTCGCGAAAACTGGACAGACGGCAATTTTAGCAACGAGACCAACTACACAGCCACTTGGTCGGCGGTCTGGCATGGAGTGTGGGAGCAGTCATTGCAGCACTCTATGATTATGGGCATAGTACTTTGCGGCAGTAGGGAACGCAAAGAAACACATAAGCACAACTGCACACACAACACCGTCAATCTACACTGCAAAGAATGAGCGATCACAGCGATGGTATGTGAGCTCGTTGTTCTTGTAGCTGTAGCTGTAGCTGCGAACTTGGCAGCAAAGCCGTTGACGAGTTGTCAATGATGTTAGCAGTAAGCAGCACAAAAACATGGTGAACTTCTAGTACTGCTTGCCATGATTAGCTTCTCCCCTTCATGTTGCGAAGAGTGTGACGATCCAAGGAGTTGAACTATTCACTCTGGGTGCCACGTGACGAGTGCAAGAACGAGGAGTCCCGGCACATGGAATCTTGTCGTTCTTCGGGTAGATGTTGAGCTGCAGCCCTGCTTGCACCAATTCGCCTCGATGTCGCGCATTTCCGGCTGAAGAGTTTGCCTCGAACAGGCAGCTTTCCCTCGAAACCGCATGCGCCCGAATCCGAGCACTGGACCCTTGCGTATTCATGGGGCTCGTATGGATTCAGGTCAGCATCTGTCAAGCTTAGCTGGCGCAGAGTGGCAGAGGCATGAAACCAAGTCTCCACGAGGTTGCGTCGTTCCAAGACTGCGGAAGCACTCGATCTACGACGCAAAGGCACCAGCTTCTCGTGCCTACTTGTCCCATCCTTTTCAAGCCTTTTTCAAGCCTTAAAGAGCATCCCATGTCGAGCCCATGCAGCTCAGAGCCCGACGCCCTAAGCCCAGACCCCAAAACATGCACAAACCCTAAACAACAAACGCACTATGGAGCCGATAACTCAGAGCCCTAAACCCTAAACCCGTACCCCAAAGCCTAAACCCTAAACCCATAACGCAAACCCTAAACCCTAAGCCCATGACCCAGAGAGCCCATGTGGCCCGGAGAGGTGCGGGAGACGTGCTACGACGGCTACACGGAGCTGCTGGACAGCGACTTCTCTTCGGAGCTGCCGGATCGACAGGCCCGGCCCCCCGCGAAGCTTCGCGAAATCCTCGAGTCAAAACCATGTGTACAAAGAATTGTGTTTTGTTTTTTACATGGTTTGTATATCGCCTAAACGTGACATACGCATATATATATATATATAATGTGTGTGTGTACATGCAAAGTATGTATATATGTATGTATGTATGTCTGTATGTATGTATGTATGTATGTATGTATGTATGTTAGTATCTGTTCCACATATATAGATATACATATATATATACAGAACAAGAGCATGTTTTTTGTACTGTCCATTGACGTCACTATATGACTGTGTGTGCATATACATAGATATGATTTCGCATATATGTATATACTGCTATACACACACACACACATATATATATATATATCTATATATGTGGTTCCTGTGGCTCGAAGCTGTGCATTGGAGAGAGCAGACGGTGCAAGGAATGCTCAGGACAGTCCAACGGAAACGCGCGACTAAAGCATGCTTTGCTTAGGCCTAGCTAAACCTCGTCGGTGCATCGTTTTGCCGGCTCCCTTGCTGCAAGCAGCCTGCCAGCCAGATTCTCGTCCTGATGGGATGGCATGTCGCCTCCGGCACCGGTGGCTGCCTGGCTGCTGATGCAAATCCATGCAGGACCGTCTTAGCTTCTTGAGACCACAGACGGCGCATGCAAGGGCCAAAGATGTTTCGGTCGGTCCGGCATGCCAGGAGCAGCGCAGGAGTCGCTATCGGGTCATCCATGCTGGGGAGCAGATGCGGCCGACTCTTGGGCATCCGCGTTAACACCGCAGCGCTGTTGCGTGAATCCACCATTTGGGGATGCGCGTTGTTGGATGAATGGCCTCGACTTTGACCTCTGCTGCACTCGCTGGCTCCACCCGCGCACGCCAGAGCCGGTGCACCAGCGGCTGAAGGAAGACTTGACAAATTGCATGCAAGGAGCGGCGCCTGACGCGCAGCCCAGCACCGAGTGCCGGATGTCGGCTTATGCTGCGATTGAAGGTTCACCTCTCGGGCGTCTTCTTTGGTGTGCCATTGAAACAGCACATTGCTCCCGTGTCTTTGACGTGTTCATCGGCTCTGGTTGCAGTGCCGCCACTGCGGCAGCCGCCATGTCTGCCAGAAGGGCCAGCCCTCGGCCGGTGCCCGTCGTGATCGGCTTCGAGGATCCGGAGCCTCAGCGAGCACAGAAGTCGCATGCCGCACTCGCGCGCTGGCGGGCGAGGCGGCTTCCGGTCGGCGGCATTGGTAAACAACAGCTCCAGCAGCTTCGTGCGGCGAGCCTGCGCCTGCGGAGCTGGGTGGAGGAAAAGGGCGGCGAGGAGGCTTTTGTGGGGTTGCTGGCCGGGCCCATGCGTCCAAGAAACAGCAGCTGCAGCGAGTGCTTGTCGCAGTGGGCCTTGGACTGCCCGGAGCGCTGTGTCTACTCCTTCGGGGCCATCGAGGCAGCCTGCGAGGCTTTGCGCGGCGTGGACCTGGTCTTCCTGGACTCCGATGGCTCGGCAGCAGATGGCTGGCTGGTGGAGTGGCTCCAGGTGCCAGCCGCTGTTGCTTGTTATTGCTTGTTGCTTGCTGCTCTGCATTATGCATTCCTTGCGAGGTGGAGAGGGCCTGCGCCCCTCGACTGGTACTGCTGCTGAACTTGTCCCTGCCAAATCATGGTGCTTGGATCAAGGAGCGGCTTCTAACTTTGGGCTACACCGAAGTTTGGCGAGACGGCCTGCTGCTGGATCCAGGCGAATACACAGAGTTTCCTTCTGAAGTCTGATCGGGCTTTCTCGAGGGTGTTGTTCCGGGGCAGACTGCAACGCCGAAGAGGGAGCATGCCATACTCTGGGTCCTAGGTGGTCTCAACCTTGCTCTCGCTTTTTTGTCTTTTTTCGTGCTTCCCTCAGATCCTTTTTCAACAATGGCATTCTCCGACGTGCGCCGTGTGCGGACGTGGTCGCTGTTGGCCTACACAGGTGCCACCAAAAATCAAAAAGCTATTTAACAAGCCCCAGAATTAATGAGTACATTTTGAAGCAAATTAATTACTTACTGTGATGCCAGCCCGTCAGGATCTTTGTGATTCCATAGCTGCAAGCAGATTGGCTTCGATGGGTACTGGTCATCGTCCAGGTGACTCTGCCCAGGCTTAATGTCGTGGAGTTCATGGACAGCCGTCGTTTGATCGCGGAGCTCCGTGAGAACGCTCTATTCAGCAATCGGGGTATAAGGTACCCTGAAGAGGAAGACATTGAGGCTTTGCGTGCGCGGAGCGAGCAATGTCAAGCATGGAGTCCGTCACTTCTTTTCTGCTGCCTGATACTGTAGCAGCTCTCTCTCTCTCTCTCTCTCTCTCTCTCTCTCTCTCTGTGTCTCTGAGTGCAATGCTGTGAAGGGCAGTGGGACATATGCCACTGGTCATTGTCAGACGAAGTACGAGATCTCGAGCTTCACAGAGGCTCAAAAGACGGCCGCAACGGATGCCACCTCGACCGGTCCATCTGGATCGAGTCTCGAAGCAGGCCTCGAGAAGACACATCCGGGCTGTTTCATCCTCCGTGATGTGATGTTCAACAGCAATAGCTGGTCGATGTGGCGTTTGCCCACAGCGAGAGAACCTGCAGTCGCGGACGACGTGGACCCAGTGCGTGCGGCTCTGAAGCACACAGGGGTTCTGGAGTTGCCGTGCAGGCGAAGGGGGCCCGCCTTGCTGTGCTCTCGCTGTCGGAATCTGGCTTCAAGCCATGCACCTTTCCTTGGCCATCCAGTATTCGAGAGCCGCCTGGGCTCGTCCACGCCTGTCCACGCCATGACGTCGAAGCAGCGGAGTGCGATGATGACACTCGTAAGTCCTGCAAGCCTCCTCCAGGAAGAGATCCTGTGCAGCTGCTACGCGTTCCTGGGCAAAGATGGAGTTGCAGACTTTATATTCGTGGAGCAGCATCTTTGTTGGGGAAGGGGTATATGGTTTGCGGTTAAGTCGGAGGATGTGCAGTTTCGAGCCTGGGCTGTGGAGGCCCGGATTGCGCATACACAGGGGCCACCGGAACTCCTGCAAGGTTTTTTGGCCGGAAGGGAGAGACACTGGAGCTACTGACAGACTGCAGTGCTGCTGGCCCTTGCAGAAAGCGTGCTGTCGCAGTTCTCCTGGATCTCTGAGCCCGTGTGGGACTGTGTAGCCGTACCTTGCAGAAGGGGTTGACTTATAGTAGCCATTCCCTGAAGAGGGCCTTGCGTTGCATGTCACCTTCTGCGCTCCTTGGGGGTTTTTGGTGCCTGGTGCCCGAACGCAGAAAGCTCCCTGAAATTCCAAAGCCACCAAAGCCACCGTTCCGCCAAACCCCAAACCCCAAAGGCTCCTAAATCCTAAACCCCAAAGGCTCCTAAACCCCAAACCCCAAAGGCTCCCAAACTCGCCACAAGAAGCCCACGAGCGAAGGCCGAGACGCTTGTGCCGGTGGCAGCGACGAGTCCCTTCGGTGTGAGTCTCGGGGGTTTTGGGCCTTGGCGATGTATATATATATATATATGTATATATATATATGATAACAGTATGTATGTATATATATATATAGATGTATAGATAGATAGATAGATAGATAGATGGATGGATAGATAGATAGATAGATAGATAGATAGATATATATATATATATATACACATACAAAGAATACTGAAAGTTCGCATTTGGACTGCTGATCGCTGTGAGGCCTGGTCAGTTTGGGCCAGGGGCCTTACAGCTTCTCGTTGGCCTGGTCTGCAGGAGATCCGAAGGACGGGCCGCTTCTGGCAAGCACATGTTCAGGTTTAGGGTTTAGGGTTTAGGGAACAGGGAAAAGGGTTTTGGGTTTGTGCCATACTACTCGTAGTGATGGTCGCAGGATGTATTGGGCGGGTGTGTGAAGTCTCCCTTCTTGGAGGACAAGCCCATAGACGTGCTGTGCAGGACTGCCTCTACCAGAAGTGGCTGGTCGAGATAAAGGACGACAACTACACAGGTGTCTTCACGCCAGTAGCTTGAGTGCCATGTTACTTCTGTGTGAGGTGCAGAGAATGTTGACTCGGGAAGGTGGTGAAAGGTGCTACGTAAGTGGGCTGCGGTGTGACTGATATGTCGGTCCTAGATCTAGTGATAGCTGACATGCCTCATGAAGTAATGGAGCAGTATGTGCTGCAGGTACTGCATCACGAACGACACTAGTTAGAATTTTGTATAGTGTCAACTAACCCTGGCAGGCAGCGTCTCAGTGTGCAATTCGCCAGATCTTTTCCCGATCTTTTCGGCACTGCAGAGACTTCAGCCACCAGGTGATGTGTGGCGAGAGGCCATCGAGTGTGGACGGGAAGCGCGCGATGTCACCAGCCCGGGCCCCGCAAGCTGTCTCGGCAGTTCTTGGGCCAAGCAGTGCCAAGAGCCTGCCAGCAGCGGCCTTTTATATATTATATGTTTTATATTATGTATATATTATTATAGTGGAAGACCTTAGCTTTGATGATGTCGTGTCGGGGCGGAGAATCGAGACGGGCCATGCACGGAGACCGGAATGCGTGAAGTCGCAAGAGAAGGGCCTCGAAAGTAAGTGTATCATACAACGCGAGGCCGTGAGTGTGAACTGTCAACGAAAAACTGATCGTGGAGAGTGTTGTCATCAGTTGAGATTCCATTGCCTTTGGCCCAGGCTGCACCATCACAAGGCTTCACGAAGGCTACCTGGGGGAAGAGGTGCGCTTCAGTCTGGGCAAACTGTATGTATAGTGCACATCCAGTGCAGAACGCGCCGTAGTTTCCGTTGTCATCATCACCATCATCATATGGCTAGCTAGTCACACCGCCACGGGCTACCCGTCGTCGTGGCAGCACGAGAGCCTGATAGGCCCATCTTCGCAGCAACACGGAGTACGAAGTTCGCGTGAAGGAATTCTGTCAGAGCCCAAGCACATGAAATGGCGCCGATGACTGCCGCAGATTGGCAGATCTTCACCGATGGGCCATCAAGGCCAAACCTACACGTCGATCTACGATCCATGGGGAGGGTCGCGAGAGCGTTCGGCACCCAGAAGCTCAATCTTCCGGGACATGAGTTTGATGTTGCAAATGCCCCCACCGTGCCTGCCAGACAGATTGTGATCATGTACATCTGTCATGCTTCACAGCATGGGTCTGCTCAACGCTGAGACGGAAACAGCTCTTGACACTGAAGTTGCGCTTTCATTCTTTTGTTCGTTGCAGCTGCGAAACATGCCTCGAGTTTGGTGAAGTTCTTTTCCTCCTACATTTACAGTAGCCGGGCACGTAAGACACGGGGCCTTTTAGACTTTTAGCCTTTTGGCCCATACACGCTGGACGCCTAGAAAACCCGCTACTCTACGCTTCTGTACGGGCCTAACCTTCGGTTGCCACAAGGTGCGGAGTACCTGGACAGTCCCATCCACTATCTGCCGGCCGACCAGTTGCCCAGGTCGGTGCGAAGCATCGTTCGGTCATGTTTCGGCATTGATGAAAGCGGTGACCAGTTTTGCGGCTTCTTGTTTCCATGCCTTTGTTGTAAATAGTTGGAAATACTGTTGATAGACGAAGCAATCCTGCACAGTCAACCATAGTTTAGCGATGTTTGGAGCACTTGAGGTAGTGCAGGATTTGGTCCATCAGATAGCTGAACAGGAACAGATTCACAAGGAGGCAAAGTCGGAGGAGTGGAGCAACAGTAGAAGCCCTTAGAAGAGGCTTTTGGTCATCATCATCATCATCATCACCATCACTATCACCATCACCGTCTTCCGCACAACTGTTTATCATGACCACTGTCCGGCTTCGCAGTCTTGATCACCCTGGCAATCAGTGACTCGTAGTTCTTTCATCAAGCGCTGGGCTACAGTGGACAAGCTGTGTTCATGTACGCAGGACACTGGCTCCTGTGCCAACATTGACACCCCTCAATTTCAAAGTGAACGAAACGGATCACCAGCTCGCGACTCAGTGTCCCGCCTGGAGTGGACAGTGGACTATGTTCTTGTGGATTGCACTTTGATCGATGATCGGGAACGAGGTCCTTTAGACTCAGCTGGGAAGCCCAAATCTCCAACGACTGCCGGTTCCGGAACTGGACCGTGGAGGACGCCTGATGCAGCCTGCTAGCATAACGGCCATGAAGCAGATTGGATCTGCAGTCCATTTCTCTTCGAGTGAGGTTGTCTGCTTGCTCGTTTGCAGCCCTGTGCACAGATCCGGCTCGTCATCCACTGCATTGCCGGGGTCGGTTACACGAATTGCACGGCGGCTGCATGCTCAGAAATTCACCTGCGTTTGAGTAAATCAGAAACTACCGCCATTAAAACTGGTACTACTACTAGTACTACTACTACTACTACTGCTACTACTACTGCTACTACTACCACTAATACTACTACTACTACTACTACTACTACTGCTACTACTACTACTACTACTACTACTGCTACTACTACTACTCCTCCTCCTCCTCCTCTTCCTCCTCCTGCTGCTGCTGCTGCTGCTTCTACTGCTGCTGCTTCTACTGCTGCTGCTAGTGCTACTGCTGCTGCTACTGCCGCTGTAGTACGACAACGGCTGCGACCGTCCCTAGTACTACTGCTACCTGCTACTACCACTACTGCTGCTACTACTACTGCTGCCACCGCTGCTGCTCCTCCTCCTCCTCCTCCTCCTCCTACTACTACTACTACTACTACTACTACCACCGCCCCCACCACCACCACCACCACCACCACGACTAATTCTACCGGCTATGGTACCACTGATTCTACCGGTAATGGTATTTTTCATACCAAAATACAGACGCGGGGGTGACACCCATGCCAATGTTAATTCTGAGACAAATACCTGAATACCGCTAGTAGTACCAGCCATGATAATCATAGCAACATGCATAATAATGCTACTCAGCACTCCTGCAGAGGAGCTCCACGGAAGGGATCCGACAGAGACCGCTTGGTGATCAGGTGGAAGACCAGCCCTGGGAAGTTCCGGGCACTTGTGTGATCGAGGCCCGACTTCAGGGTTTCCAGTTTTTGTTGAGATTTTTTTTTTAAACTTTGGGCGAAAGATGTGGAGAACTGTTTCGTTAGCTTAGAAGTATGTGTAAACTGTGTTGGGAACAGTTCGTTACATACACATGGTACATGGAAAAGCAGTTCTCAACAAGGTTTAGGGCTTAGGGGTTTTGGGCTTAGCGTGCATTCATGACTCCTAAGGAGATGCCACAAACACGGAGCTGTCATGAGATGACTGGTCCTTGCCGTGACAGTCGTAGGTGGCTGGGGTTTCAGGCTTCAGGGCGCGGCCTGTCAGGGTTTAAATTCATGTGGGGATTTCCGAAAATAGGGGACCCTAGTATAGGACCCTAAATAGTCGGATTCTTATTATAACCCAAATAAGGTACCCCAGTTTTCGGAAACTCCCATGTGGATCTTTTTTGAGACGTGGCACCATCCTGACGGCTCTGCTTTGCGAGTCATTAAAGCTCGGTATGTGCAGCGCCGAGCCACCTCATTCGAGAAACCTGTAGCCTTACGGAGGACAGTCGCGTAGCTACACACCAAGGACCACGCCACGGTCGAGCATAGCCATGGTTCAAAAGCAGAAGATTGAACATCGTCCCGGGAGCTCACCGTTTCTTGCAATTCCCTGTGGTGCTGGGCAGGACAGGTCGGTTACCAGCTGCAAGGCCGGGTGTCGAGAAGTCCTATGGCTGCTATCACCGCTATCATGATTACCATCACTAGTGCTACCGCTTTCACTAGCGCCATACTTGTGATTGTTAATACTGTATTTACTACTTCTCAAAACATGTCAAAGTCGAACCAAGATCTGTCAGGTTTCGTGCCTGATGCTTCTCTGCAGGGCAGGATTCGAGCCCCGCCCCGTTGTGCACTGGACCTGTGGCTCCAGGTGCATGATGTGAAGAGCTACAGCTTCTACGAGGTCAAGATGCGGGAACGCTGTGCGCGACCTACAGATAGAGATGCCGGGGTCGGCCAAAGCACCCAGAACGCAGCAAATTCCGAAACCCTGACCTCAGGCAGCGATGCGACGGCAGAGAGTGCGGATGCCACGCTGATTGCCCTCCTCCCAACTTTGCGTTGAGGATGTGGGTGGAGGATTTGGGTCCACTCGAATTGAATTCAGGGAATCATCGATGTTGGTGCTGGTCTTTCGGTCATGGTGTTCAGGGGTGTGCTGCAGTGGACAAAAGCCACGAGAAGAGAGCCTTTGGATTTCGGGAACGAGGCGGAAGTGTGGCCCTTCCTGTCCGACGCGCCGGACAACATGCCAAGCTGGCCATTGGTTGGGAGATGGGGCTTTCACACCACAGCCCAGCAAAGACCATGTTGAGAGATTTCGGCGTCGTTGGCCCCTTTTTCTTGCCCGATTCCCGCTTCGGCTCTCATGCCAGGACCGTCACGTCTCCCGAGCCCTTCACGCTGAATGTGAAGTGGGACCCTGGAGATCCCCAGGAATGTGTCCTGGTAAGCATTGAGCTTGTACCGACTTCGTGTCTTTTTGGTGGATCTCTTCAGCAGCTCTCTCCGTTAGTTGTATCTGTATATGTATACACACACACACATTCTGTCATTTGTGTATATGTATATACACACATTTACACGTACAGGCACACACTTATCTAATACTCTCTAACAATCTCTCTCTCTCCCCGTCCCTCCCCAGTAACCCCCCGATAGTAGCGCGTGGTCATCGTTGTAGTTGCCGAAGTTTGGTGTTGTCCCTTTCCACTGTGAACAACTGTCCCAGGTGTCTTCTCGCACTGGGACGTTCAGGTTCAGGCCTTCAAACTGTGCGCAGGATGCATGTCCGGCTCGTCTGTTTGCTTCTTCTTCCTCCTTGTCATCTTCACTGTCAGCACCATCCGCATCGTCCTCCGTCTACTCCTTCCTGATGACCGTTATCATCCCTATAGTTCTGTTCATCGTCACTTGGGAGGTCATCATCATCATCATCATGTTCCTTCCTTCCTTCCTTCCTTCCTTCGATCCTCCTTCCTTGATTCCTCGATTCAGTGATTCATTCCTCGTTCTTACGATTATCTCCCGCTCCTCCTCGTCCTCCGCCGCCTCAACCTCCTGCACCAAAGCTCTCCTTGATTTCCTATCCTCTTCCTCCGAATGGTCATCCTCGTCCCCATATTCGTCCACATCGTCCTTCTCTTCTTCATCAACATCCATGTCGTCAGCGTCGTCGCCATCATCCTTGTCATGATCACCGTCGCCATGACCATTGTCATTGTGATCGTCGTCATCGCCATCCTCCTCCTCATCATCATTATCAGTATCATCACCATCATCATCATCATCATCACCATCACCATCGCCATCATCATCATCATCATCTTCATCATCATCACCGTCGCCATCGCCGTCGCCATCGCCGCCGCCGCCGCCGGCGGCAGCAGCAGCATCACCAGCAGCATCACCAGCAGCATCACCATCACCATCACCATCACCATCACCATCACCATCACCAGCACCAGCACCAGCACCAGCACCAGCACCAGCACCAGCACCAGCACCATAATACTCACCACCATCATGACCATGACCATCATCATCATCATCATCGTCATCATCATCATCATCATCGTCAATATCAACGTCATCGTCATCGTCATCATCATCATCATCATCATCGTCAATATCAGCGTCATCGTCATCGTCATCATCATCATCATCATCGTCACCGCCACCGTCACCATGTTCATCATCATCAGCAATAACATCATCATTGTTCAACTCTAACATAAAATCCCTTGCCGAAAGCTGGTCCAAACTCAATAAACCGTCGTCGTCCATAGCCTCGTCTATCAGAATTAGCTGTTTTCCAACCCCTACCAACTACTCTGCACCTGCTAAAGCTACCTGATGATTGTTTCAGGGCCGGCGTGTGGGTGACCTGGACGACACTTTTTCCAGGGAGTCCGTCACCGATAAATGGCCTGCTGCCCAGACAGGTTAGGCGGGGAGGCCGACAGACGGCACGATATCGAACCAAGCGTGGCCCTCTCGGCAAGGTATGGTATGATCTGGGACCTGGAGGGAAATGCCTCGTTTCTCAACTGGAGTGCGCCAGGGCTCGCCGTCTCTTTGCTGCTCTCCATCAGTGGTCGTCCGCTCGGCAGGTACGACCATCGACTCCTGCCGCTTGGTCGGCCAACGAGATGTTGCAGAATGCAACATCACTGGGCTCGCCGGACGCCGAGCCTCACACGACCTAGTTGCACAGATCGCATGCAGGGGACTGTACCCCCAGTCGTGTGATCACTCAGATCAGCAACGCATTGTACGATGTGCGGATTGCAGAGCGATGTGTGGATGAACGTGCTGACAGCCCGTGGCTCGTCGTGGCCTCGGAGCGTTTAAAGACAGGCCTTGGCCGGGCCTTGGGTGAAGAAGGGCGACGAATGTTTCGAACCCTGAGTCCTGCATTCCTCGTGCCTGAGTTTTAATGACAGCTTATCGCAGACTGGCTTTGCATTCCAAGATTGAGGGGAGACCCAGGCAGGCGACACCACATCGAGAAAACAGGAAAGAGCGCCTAGTCACAAGTGACTGTGGTGCAGATTTCAGGTGGAGCGGCTGCAGGCCACGATTCCAGCTTGGGCCTTGATGCCATTGGGGCCCAACGCCGGGGACCCGGACCCTGCGACTTGTGGCATGCAGTTTTTTACGAGCTGACGGTGGCATGGATGTCCATGTTGAATGAAGCAAAGAACCAGGCAAGACATGAGCGGAGAAGCTTCTTCTTTCTTGCTTCGGCTTGGGGTCTCTAGAATCGGGAGGTCAGCAACGTCACCACTACCACCATGGACCTGGAGTGGGTTCCGGCCTCTGTGGTCTCGCAAAAGGTCATGGGCAGTCTGAAGCCGTAACCCTGAAACCGTAAAACCTCCAAGCGAGCTTAGAACAATGCCTCCTGCTGAGGCTGCAAGTGAGCCGCGAGACTGCCTCTTCAGCTCCTGGAAGGTCGAGGCCATGCGCTTCGGGAGGGTCGGGGGAGCGAAGGGGTTTGACGCTGGCGTTGCAAGCGTTTTAGGCATGTTGGAGGTTGTTGAAGGCTACAGATTTTTTTTCATCTTTCATGGATCTCAGGCTTGGATTTTCATGCCGGGTCGGTGTTTGCTCTGGTGGTACCCGGGCTGCCACTTCCAAGCTCGAGCCGACAGCCCTTGAGCTGATCCCCGTCCAGAACAGGATGGTTTTCAATCGCCCATAACGAACAAAACACATAGGGCGAAGGCGGATTAGGATCAAGGGATGCTCTGTGACGGTGCATGGGCCCGGCTGCGAAATGAAGGGCAGTGTAGACTTAGAGGCCTGATGAACTCTAGACCTCAAGCAGGTGAAGCCCACGGCCATTACCGACGACGACTGGATACCGGTGCCAGAGTGCTCCCTCCCTGATCGCGATGCCACCTCTTGCCAGATTGCGGCTTGGAAGCTCTCGAAGCTCTGGGCATGCAAAGCTCTGCCTTGTCGAGCTGCAAAATCTGTTACTTAGGTGGGCCTGCAAAGCTACACGAGCTATGACATCCGGATCCAAGAGACGTGCATCCATGACACCAGCAACAGTGCGAGAGCTGAGAGTTTCTGCACAAACGCAAGAAGAGCCTTCAATGTGTGGAGGGTGCACGATGGATCTACTGCTGCAAGGTCCTTACTTGCTAGAGGAGAACTCGTTCACGACTCTGGCAGACTCCTGAGAAGCACAGTTTCCCAGATTTGAACCTGTTGCTGCAGGGGAAGCCGTGCAATGCTGAGGTGGGGAGCGTCGTCTACGTCGGGACGAACCCCCTCACCAACTCCAAGGCGATTTTCTTCGGGTCGCGAGGTCTGAATGCGCGGAGCTTATCGTGAAAGCACGGCAGTGGGGGTTTCGTCGGAGATTTTCAAGGCCGGGGTGTGATTTGGAGTTGTCGGCTTCGAGGGCCCCGTGCTGCTCTTTAAATGCAGCGTCAGTACTAGAGTCGCGCTCTTTACATGCTAACGGAGGCAACCCTCAGAAGGCACTTCAAGTTTGTAGTTAAGTTCCTGGTTCTGGCTTCTGTATGGTGCTGTGCAAGTTTCAGGCCTGTGCCTATCACACCAAGTGCTGTGCCGACGAGTTCTCGCTCTGCTACAGCAGCCAAGAGGCGGAGTTCCCGACCCCCGCAGACCTTGTCGGAGATGTTTATCTGCGATGCCAATTTTCACCTTCATCCGTTCGGTTCATGCCACGTGGGCCAGTGTGCCTGCCCGCGATGCGTGGCCAGGCTGAAGAACATCGGATAGCATAGGCATGAAGCCACTTTTTGCCCCTCACCGCCGTTGGTGCAGGTGGATGTTATCCGGACTGACTTGCCGGATGCTGGCTGGGGGCAGGCAGTCCGGCTAAAGCAGAAACTTCTAGCATACTGCGGAAGACATTGGGCGTTTTCGGAGCAAGAAAGCTCATGCATCCAGCTGCTCTCTGCTGTATCGGCCAGGACCTGTACCTTTCTTGCGTCGCGGATACTGCAGCCGCCTCAGAGCGTAGTTATTCCGCGACTTCAGTTCCGGTGGCGATGCTTGGACGCTCTGTGAGGTGGCCCAGGACGACATGAAGCGCATCGTGGCGCGCCCGCCCGCAAAGCCCAGCCCTGAAACCGGAGACCCGGAGAAACTTTGGGTGCATTGCTATGCAACCAGAGGAAGATGACCACAACTAGGGGTGGGAATGTTTATTTGGATTCCCTATCGTCCCCATCTAAAGATGGTGGAATATTCCCCCGATGTTTTTCTAGCAATTCATGAAGTCCCGCTTAGTGCTGCCTTGCCCAAGCTCTTCAGTGCCGCTGCTTGTCTGAGGCTCGAAGCCGTTGATCGCACCGCGAACGTGGACATGCCTCGCTTGGCTTCAAAGTGCAAGAGTAGTAGTGACGCTAATGCCAGCAGCAACAAAAATTGCCAGAACAGCCTGTAAAAGTGTGGACATATCATGGCATACGATGCAGCACCGCTATGATACCAAAAGGTAGTTCTTGGTTGTGCTGAGCCCGTCTCCAGTCTTCTCAAGCGTCTATGTCCCATGCCCTCATCCCAGAAACAGAAACCGAGAAACAACTTCAACACCTTAGCCGCGGAATCGTAGGACTCCGGCTCACGCTGTCTGGCCATGATCGATGATAGCAGTGGTTCTTGCTAGTTACTCCAACTTTGGTTTTTCTACTTCTCATGCCCCGTTTCCTAAAGCAGCCCCTTATAGGACTCCTTTCCCTGATGGTACCCGGTAGAGTATCCCTGGCCCTTGTGTGTGTTTGTATCTGTTGAAAGCTGCGCTATCGCAGCCGCTATAGTAAGCCTTATAGTAGCCTTTTTTGCGCTTCCCTAAACCCGAAACCCAAAAACCCTAAACCCTAAAGCCCCAAACCCCAAAACCCTAAAACCCTGAAGCCCTCTCAAAGCCCTAAAACCTTTAAAAGCCCTCTTAAAGCTTAAAGCCCTCTTAAAGCCCTAAAGCCTAAAAACTCTCAACCCCAAACCCCAAACCCTAAAAGCCTCAAAGAGCCTAAAGCCTAAAAACCCCCAAACCCTCAACCCTAAAAGCCCTAAAACGCCTAAAGCCCTCCTCCAGTCCATCGACCTGGTTTGGCTCCCCTACGGCTCCGGCGGGCTCGGGGCCCGGCGCCTGCGCGGCTTTTGCCGGAGGAGTCGATGTCAGTTTGAGGAAATGAGGGGCCCTGCGTGATCCTCCTCATCATCATTTATGTATTATGATTATGATTATTGGTCAGTATTATTTATGATTACAATCATGATCATTGTTATCGTTATTATTATTATTATCATCATTATTATTGTTATTATGATTATTATTGTTATTTATGTTTGTTATTATTGTTGTTATTATTATTGTTATTTATTAGTATTATTATTATTATCATTATCATCATTGTCATCATTGTTATTATTATTATCATCATCATCCTCGTCGTCATCATCATCATGACCATCGACACTCAAAGCCGACCCTGGTTTCTCCTCTGAGGTACATGAGTGACTGCTACTGCTCCGAGTGGAATATCTTCGTTCGGCGACAAGGCGCTCAATTTCTGCGAAGATGGCCGGCTTAGACCATGAATCCCAAGTCGGCGTGAATGATCTTCCCAAAGTTCCCCCATGGGCCCGATGAGATCGTTGGCAGGTACCACGGAGTGGTTGCTCTCTCCGGACTGTGGGCCTGACACTTTCAACTGCGTGCGAAGAGGTGGTACTATATCGGCCCTATGTAAGTTGAAGTGCTGTAAGCGTGATGCAGAAACGACTATCGCATGCCAGGCAGAAACATGCCTTTTTCCCAGAGCAGCTGCACAGTGAAGAATCTGGAAGACAACTGGCTCGCTCCAGCAAGGACCTCGGTATCCTACAGATTGGCCTCAGAGTTCAGAGTTGAGACAGGGTTCGGGGTTCAGGGGCTTCAAGGGTTTAGGTTCAGGGTTTGGGGTTTAGGGTTTAGGGTCAAGGGTTCATGGAGAGTGGAGCAGCTTGAGCTGCGAAGCCTCTTCGTGGATCTGCATGGCCGCTCCTTGACTAAGAACACCGTCTACGAGATTCGCGTGCGGCAAACTTGCAGCCGGGACCTTGTCACGACGTTTCTCCAGACACTTCTCGAGATATGGTTTACCAAAAATAGTTGTACCTGATTCCATTGTGTAGGGGTCCATATTCGGCTCCCCTATTTTCTGAAACTCCCATATATAGCTATTGAAAGTTTTCGAGGAGTTTTCCTTTTCACCGCCATGACTGGTTCTCTTCGCGCAGGTTGAGAGCCATGGTCACATGTCGCAGAGGACTCTTGAACCTACCGTTGTGTACTGCCAGAATTGTGGGATGCCCAAGCCGAGACCCAGGGCCATGCAGTTCATGTTCTTAGTTAAAGGGAAAGGGACTCAAATCGCGGCGAAGGCTTCGATCGCCTCAGCAGCCCGTACAAAGAGATCCAGGCGGATCTCGAACAGTTTGTTCATGTCTCGAGTGCAGACGATCTCAACGTTCATGGCATATGAACGTCGGGCCTGGTTGGGATGATAGGTTGGCTGTAGTGTGCACAGTCCTACGTAAAATCCACTGCTGAGTGCCCGTGAACATTCAAGTATTTAGGTGTTTGATGGTTTGGTCTATGAAGATGCTTAAGAGTTGCGATTGGTAACATGCCGACAGCACGGGTGACTGTCCGACAACTGCTGAGCTTGCACAAATCGTCGTGTACTCGGCAAGAGCCAACGCTCCAGTGCTGGCAACAGCTCGAGGAATTTGAGACCCATCTGTTCTGAGTCTATGTGTTCCTCTTCAGTGGCTCGCTGCGCAGGTTCCCACATTACCTGGCTGTACCTTCTCCCAGCACAGCGGCCAAGACGACTACTTCGTTTGCGCGGACCGCCGGGGAGACAGGTGTTCTCAGGGCTGCCGCTATGAAGCAGCGCTTAGTGGTGCTTCGGTTTTGGTCTCGCATCAGGGCCCTAGTTTCGGAATCGAAAGCATCCGCAGTGGACATGGTTGCTTCGATGCTCTGCTGGTAGCTGGCAAAGGAGTGTTGTTGGTTGTGAGCTCCATTACGTTAATGGACCCGTCTTTAGACGGGAGGGTCTAGCATTGATCCGGAATAAACTGGGGAACGAAAGTTTCAGGTTCTGCTAAAAGGCATAAACATGCACTGCTGCACGAATGTGGCATAAAGACAACGTGTTGTCGCACACTCCCATGGTACATAGACACGCAGAGCATCAATTCCCAACCTTTCTGGATGTTTGGACATGGGTCACCTTCCACTAGGTTTCGGACGAGTTAGTTCCGGCACTTGCTTCGGTCTTTAGCAAATGGCTCATCAGAAGTACATGTGTCAAGCCCCAGCCAGTCGCAGGACGGGTTCTTCAGCTTCATCTTTGATGGTGGTCGTTTCGATGGCGATGGAACGGGATGTTGGCGACGTCGGACCCCCGGATGCTGGTTCAGGTCAGTGCTGCAGGAAGAACATGGTCTCGCCTGAGGATTGCACAATGAAGTATATACTCGTATATGCTACTGTACTGTATTCTTCAGAGATGTCCACTCGGGCGATCTGCTGCAGGTGGAGGACGAGCCCGATGTGCTAAAAACTTTCCGTATATGTCCGGTGCCGAGCATTCCAGTACCTGCTGCTGCCCACCCGGGTTTGTTTCGCTGTCTTGTGTGACTGTCTTCTTTCCTTGCATCGATCGGTCTTTGCTGCAGCGTTCTGGCGAGCGTCATCGGAATGCGTACATGCTGTGCTTGGGTGCATGTGTGCTGCCCATGGGGCAGTTTCATGAACACAAGCCTTATGCTACACCCTAAGCCCCGCTTCTGCAGCGAGTTTGCGGTACGAAGGTGCGCCAGTCCGGACAGCTGTGCCAAGGCCGGGTCGTGGAGATTGTGCTTAGCAGGCATCAGACCCTGAGACCCGGCTGAGACCCATCAGCCACAGACTCCCCTATTCTTAGAGGGCATCTGAGCAGTCGACGCTGCAAGGTCGATAGTCTTCAGGCTGGCGGCGTCAGAGCGGACCGGGGGGGCGGGGTGGTGTGTGTGCTTTTGTTCGGGGTTGGGATGCTTTGTAGAGAAAATCTCCGAAGGGCCTTAGCGCAGTTTCTGGATCCAGTGGCTGGGCAAGTTGCAGATATTGGGCATGATGCTCCATAAAATCAAAGGCCTGTGAGCTCGAATGCAAGTTCTCGTGCCAAGCACGGTGGCCTTTTTTCTCAGGCGACCGTTTCACGCCCGCCGCATGCCTCCGAGTGCACCCTGTTCAAGGGGAAGCTGCGCCTTGCCCTTCTTTTCTCGTCACAAACCCACCGAAAGCACTTCACAGCCTGAACCCTGTCAGACCAGGACCACTGCTGCATGGCGGAACCCTGCGGCTCGCGGAATGGCGGCGACCGGGTGTGCTTGGTGCGTCCACTACCACCGGCCGGGTACTCCGAAAAGTCTCAGACAAGACGAAAGTTGGTATTCCACGAGAGCCGCCTTTGTCCGAGGCCGACATCGTCGTGACCTCCCCATCGCCGTACTCGCTGATGGTAGACTGGCAGGCCTTTGACGACTCGTGCCTTACAGGGTGCAGTGTACTTCCAGTTCACTTCAGAGGTAAACCCTAAACCCTAAACTCTAAACCCTAAACTCTAAACCCTAAACCCCTAAACCCCTAAACCCTAGTAACCTGTGTAGGTTGGTTTGTATCCCATTTCCAGCGGTCGGAGTGCCAATCGAGGCGCAAGGCGAGACCTCTGTAGCTCAAGACAAGCTCCATCTCTTGCAGAGCAAGCCTCTCTTCAGGAGCAAGACTTCGCAGTCCGCCTCCCGGTTCCCTTTGTGTTCTAGATGAAAGCTTGCCCGGTAAAGAGCAGTAGAAGAGTATGACGGAGTGGAGACATGTAGTGCAGCATGGTAGCAGGAATCATCCCAGTCGTCGAGTAAGCAATCCGCAGTTCTGTGCAATTTTCATGGTTCCAATAGTCGTAGTCGTGTCTCGATCTTACCGTTAATCGTGGCTATGAACAGGTGTTATGTGGCAATTAGGGTCAGAGGAGAAACGGTGGCAGCTGCGATGCGTCGTAGTAGCTGTCACATTAAAAGTAGCAGTTGTCGTCGCGGTAGTGCTGTCAGTAGCAGCAGTAGGTTGACGTCAAACATCAGGGGTTTGACAGTTACGCCCAACCGAGAGTGCCCTTTTTGCAAGGAAATGCATGGCGATAGGCACAGTGACAGACTGCATAGGCAGCTGTATGCCCAGACGGGTATCCAAATGAGCAGATGTTGGATCGGACAAAAGAGTGAATCAAAGAAGTCAGATGGCGCACTCAGGACACGACCTACTATCCTTGCAGCTTCCGCCGCTGGCAAGTCGACCTGAGCCAGTACTTCTTCGAACATTGGCCTCGCACTCAAGAAGTTCCAGAGCACCATCAGAGCGATGGGAGCGAGAATGACGGGGACATGATGGAACTCCCTCGTGGGGTTGAAATGTGACAGTGGTGCAGTGGTGCCTGACACAACTGTTGTGTCCCAAGATATTTCAGTTCATCGTAGAGTGAGCATTCAGCCTGCCAGCGCAGCTTCCGTGGTCCAAGGAGCTCGGAATGGACTGCTGCGCCGGAGTGTTACATCGAGGATTTGCAGCTTCGTCTCGCGTCTGATGCATCAGCCGGAAGACTGTGGCCACAAACCACCCTCGACTGGTAGATCAGAGGCACGTGAAGCTCTCTCCTCTTGCACCAGGGTGGATCAACCTTGCTGCTGTAGAGGTGTGTCTCTTCTGGGTACGTGTCGGCTCTTTACATACCGGATCTTGCCGGATGGTATTGTAGTTGAACAGTGTAAATCCAGAGCACTGAAACCCATCACCCTCAATCCTCACGACAAGATGCAGCAACAACGTTGATATTGGTAGCAGCAGTACAAGAGTAGTAGAAAGAATGCCAGCAGTTTCGATAAACAAACCTAGAGAATCCAACTAGTTTTGCAGTACTCCTCATAATCGCAGCATGGTGGCAGTATTTCGCGCAGGAGCGAAGATGGTCCCACTGCACCATCACAGGCCCCCCCCGCTGTACTGTGCAGGGATGGACGTCGGGGCAAGCCTGCTGCAGTGACTTGTAGAGTTGCTGGAATGGTTGTGCGCTCTTCCTAAGTAGTCATAATTAGGACTCAATGCCAATCGGTCTACTGCTTCCTGCAATTCACCCGTACATCGAATGCCGTTGTGTTGTTGTGAGGCTTGGAAAGCAGCGCTCGGTACTATGTGCGAGTCAGAGAGGTCTGCGAGGCTGGCCACAGAGTGCAAGACGACACGCGACACCAAATCAGTCTATGCCACAGATAGCCGTGCGGCTCATGTTGTGATGTATATAACATCCTGCCCATCATGATGTTAGGATCTTGAGCTCTGTGGCTCTGGGCAGTTCATGCCCTGTCAAGACCTGTCGTGCTTTCTTGGCGCCGGTGCAGGATGACGCCCTTAACGGAGACTACTTGCAGCACCCTGGGCTGGTGCAGGCAGTTCCCGAGAGTCTGACATGAAAGGGGGAACCCGGGGACTCTTTGCAGGGTTCCATAGGAGACCTCGGCCTTGGCATGGGTCAAGTACAGACAAATGGTTCAAGTTCTCAAGAGCTCAGCCTGGTGCTGCCACCATTCCTGCTGACGATAGCCGCATGAAAAGGGGATGTAGAATCGCAATCCTGGAGTCCGTGCTACACGTGTCACATCTGCAAACCTCGACTTTTACACTCGACAGCCTAACTGACAACACCACACCTGCTACACTCCAGGTGAATCCCATGCCGGCTGGTGCAGCGCGCCCCTCAAAAACTATCAGGTCTGCGGAGTTCATCTCGCTGTCTGACGCCAAGAGCCCACGGGCAGCAGAAGGAAACTGAACCATGCGTAGCAACAGGATTAGCAATAGCAAGACCAGTAGTCATGACAGTGGTATCAACAATAGCACTAAGGATAGTAGCACTCTGTGTAGCAATTGGAATGATGCTGATCCCAGCCAAATGTAAGCCTATGTACTACAGAAGCTAAGCGTAGTTGTAAAGGGGAGTAACGCAATCGTGCCTGTGGTACGACCG